GGCCAAACTAGAACCAAGAGATGAAAGCTTACCTTTCAGTGTGGGGTATGTGACATCAGATGTGGCTATTTCTGCAGCCCCTAGCAAAAGTAGACGCCCAGTAGCATTCATGCCAAAAACACTACAGAGAAGTGAATCAAAGTATCAGATAATAAAGAAGAAAGCCAAGGCAATTATTGAGGCAGTTTAGAAGTGGAGTCACTATTTGGTCACAGCAACATTTTACCCTAATTACTGATCAGAGATTGTTGGCCTGCAAGATTGGGGGTTAGAACTTTCAGCCTTTGACTACACAATAAAATACCGCAAAGAGCACGTAGTTTTCAATGCACTTAGTTGAGCTTACACTTGTTCAACAATTACCAATTCTGCACTTACCAATATTCACAATGGGCATTGCCACCAGGGAGTTACTAGACTCTTACATTTTACTAAAGGGAAAAAACTTCCTTTTTCTACAGAGGAGGTAAAAAAGGTGTATGCTTCTTGCAGAATCTGTGTGGAAATTAAACATCGTTTTTATAACTTGTCAGAAAACACTCTTATCAAGGTGACCAGACCCATGGAACGACTAAATATTGACTTTAAGGGACATGCAATACATATTTACTGGTAGTAATTGACGAATATTCATGGTTTCCATTTGTCTTCTCATGTCCAAACATGCACACTACCTCAGTAATCAAATCCTTAAATCATTTGTTCAGCTTAGCTAGGATGCTCAGCTGTATACACACTCTGACATGTGTGCCTTTCATGTCTAAGGAATTGAGAGACTACCGCTCCCAAAAAAGGGGTCATGACAAGTAAAACCACTCCATATCATCCAACCAGGAACACACAGGTTGAATGATTCAACAGCACTATATGGAAGATAATTTAGTTAGATGTTAGATCACGAAACATAGCTGAGGAGTACTGGGAATTGATGCTTCCTGAAGTGCTACACTCTGTAATATTGTTGCTATGTACTTCTACAAATACAACCCCTCACAAGCATTTCTTTGCATTCCCTCATCATTCATCACATGGGAGGTCTCTCTCATCCTGGCTAATATTCCATATTATTAACGAGGTTTGTAAGAAATTGTAAAACCAATCCTTATGTGGACCAAGTCAAACTCTTAGAAAGTCATCCAACTTATGCCAACATAAAGTATCCAGATGGAAGGAGTTTACGGTATCTGTTCGGGATTTAGCACCCTGCCCAGAAGCAGAGTAACTCCCGAGTCCCCCACTGTAGAACAAAATCAGAGTGCCCTGGGTTTCCCCATATCAGAGGAGGACACACCACATAAAGGAGATGACACTGGAGTCCAACAGGTCAAGAGATCTGAACAGACACCAAGACTCCCAGATTGTTATGGATGGATGGTAATGAAACTTGTAACTCCTATTTTCCTTTTGTAGCCGAGTTTTGTTTAGTTGAATAAAGCTTAGCACTTTTACTGTTGTCCTGAGTTCTGTTTATTCTTACAATTACTACAATGTGTTCTGTACAATATGCCTAAGACAAAATAACCAAAATAGAAACAAGACAGTCGCAGCTGTTGCCATAAATGCATCTCAGATATGCGAATATTGTTTGTCGAGAAAAGCAGTTTCAATTAGGTGCTTGTTTATTTTTCTACCTCGTCTGTTGGCTTCTGCAGGGAATTTCTGACTGTTTGCGTATATAGTGATTTTTAACATTAAAACTACAATTCATGATTTTGACAAATCACTCTGCCCATGGATCTTCGAGTTTGGACTAGCAATTTGTTTATTTCACTTCGCAATCAAGCTACTATATCCAATACTTGAACACATGACAAAAACAATCTTCAGGTGTTTGAACTTTATCGCAGGACTCGTATTGAAATACATTTTTAACTCAAACTTTTCATCAATAGCATTTTCTCCTGCAATTTCATGTGCAGCACGAGAAAAAAAAATGGTATCAAAATAACTTAAGAATTTTTTTGATTCTTCAACAGTGGTGCTTAGTTCAATTTATAACATTTATATATGTAGGTAGAAAAAATAGGAAACGTTGATGAGATAACGAAGGACACAAAGAACTGCCCAAGGAGCAGCATCAGGAAAACACCCCCACCTAGTCAAGAATTATGGAGGTAGTACATGCTGGCATTGTCTGGCCAGAGGGTTAGAATAAAAAGCATCAATAATAAGAAGGAATCAAACTAGTAATAAAATAATAGTATCTGTCTATATTTATGAAATGTGGTATTATGTACATTATTTAAATTATTCGGACTATTGTCCTCATCTTTATCGCCATATTTATTACATTTCGGCCATTGTACGCTCCAGCCTTCTTCAGGTGGTTGGAATGTCAAACTTAACACTTTATTTCACTCACTGGGGTAAACTGTTCTAGTTCCACGTGCCATGTTTAATGGATGTCAGTTATCAGATATCTCCTGTTAATTTCCCTCTGAAAGTTCTCCACTGCCTTAGCTGGGTGAACACACTTCTTTATCCACTGTGCCATGTGTTCTTGAGGACATCTGTGTATGAATTTCTGGGTATTATAAACCTAATGTCTTCAGTAATCATTTTTTACCAGAGCTCATATTGCAATTTTTTTGTTATTATTGCTTTTCTCTGGCACTCCTTATTACTGGTTCCCATATTGTATTCATTTCTATGCTTGGTCGGCTCAGGAGATTTTTGTGGCCTAGCATATGTGTTGATTCCTTAGTTTACAAATTTTCCAATGGTGTTCTTTATCTATGATCTCAACCTGATCCACACAGAGGGCGGTGATCTCCCTTCTCTCTCCATATGTGGTCAGCCATGCCCGATTTTCCCACTTCCCTTCATGTTACAGCTTTCTGGTGTTCGTGAAGCCTTACCATAAGGGAGTGGCCTATCTCCCCTTTATATTTCTTTCCACAGCTGCATGGGATAGCGTACACACAGGTCCTGTTCTCCTCTACAACGTAACAACAACTCTGGGTACATGGCAGCAGTCCCAAAAAACTGGGATAGGCGGGTACAAGAGGAGGATAACAACACTCAGAAAACAATCTGCCTACCTTATGTGAAGGGGTTATCAGAGAAAAAACAAAGGATCTATGGCCCATATAACATCAGAACAACCTTCAAAAGCTTGATGACACTTCGCAGATATATCTCCCATGTAAGACTCCCCATAGAAGAGAACATGACGAAGGACTATGTGTACACTATTCTGTGCAGCTGCGGAAATAAATATAAAGGAGAGACAGATTGTCCCCTTAAGGTAAGGCTTCAAGAACACCAGAAAGCTGTAATATGAGGGGAAGTGGAAAAAAATCAAGTGTATTTTGACCACATATGGAGAGAGAAGGAGACCGCCCTCTGTGGGATCAGGTTGAGATCATAGACGAAAGAACACCATTGGAAAATTTGTAAACTTAAGGAATCAGCACATATAAAGAAGACCACAAAAATTTCCTGAGCCGACCAAGCATAGAAATGAATACAATATGGGGAACCAGTAATAAGGAATGCCAGAGAAAAAGCGATAATAACAACAAAATTGCAATATGAGCTCTGGTAAAAACATGTATTGATAACAGCAAAAATTGCAATATGAGCACTGGTAAAAAACGGTTGCTGGAGACATTAGGTTTATAATACCCAGAAATTTATACACAGATGTCCTCCTCAAGGATACATGGCACAGCGGATAAAGGCGTTGGTTAGATCCAGTGACAGGACCCAAAGAATGTGAGTTCAATACCCGGTTAAGGCAGCAGAGAACATTCAGAGGGAAATTAACAGGAGATAACTGACATCCATTAAACATGGCACAAGAAATAAAGGGTTCAATTCGACATTCCAATCAAGAAGGCCGGAGTGTACAACAGCCAAAATGTTGTAATAAATATGGCAACAAAGATGAGGACAATAGTCTGAATAATGTAAATAATGAAAATAATAGTAATAATGAAGAGTTGCCTTTGATTAGAGGCTTAGGATAAAAAGCATTAAGAAGATGGAATCAAACTAGTAATAAAATAATAGGAATAATAAAGAGTGTTTCTGTCCAGAGGGTTAAGATAAAAAGCATCAATAACAAAATGTAATGAAACTAGTAATAAAATAATAGGAATAATGAAGAGTGGATCTGGCCAGAGGGTTGGGATAAAAAGCATCAATAACAAAATGGAATCAAACTAGTAATAAAATAATAGGAATAATGAAGAGTGAATCTGGCCAGAGAGTTAAGATAAAAAATGATATGTCCTGGAAAGGGATATATTTGAACGAAGTAGCTAAGCGGTTTTGGCTACTATAACCAAGTAGAATACGGTAACAGTAATCGACTGGTACGCATCGTAGTCGCAAGTAAGAAGTGTAGATTAATGGTGTAGTCCAATGGGCGTTATTATAGACTTAGCTCTCAGACTAAGGCTCTGACTCTCCTACGCATCCATCGGTATTTATGATGAGCACCAGCCAATCATATTCCAGTGAGGAGGAACACAGGTGTATGCATATTCCATTATATCAAAAAGCATCAATAATAAGATGGAATCTTGTAATAACATAATTGGAATAGGGATCATAAAAGAAGAATATTAGGGATTCCTTGTCAGAAAGTTAACTGCTTCCAGCTCAGAAAAGCCAGAGATTAGACAGATACTGCACTATAATCTTTGGTAAAAAGCCTTGCAAAAACATTTAAAAGGCTGAATTTTTTGAGTAATGAAGAACTGATCTTAGCTTTTACAAAGTTGAAAGTGTTCCCTCCAGCAGTATTAAATAGAAGAAATTGTTAACAAAACTGAAGCTCCAACAAGCGAATATCTAACAGCAGAAGATTTACTAAAGTTTACAATGTAAAATGTAATAATAAAAAAAATAAAAATAAGCAAGCCAACCAAATGTGAAAAGTTGCCTCTCTTGATTGAAGATGGTTTTACAAACAAGAAAGGTTTGTGCCAGGTAAACATTCGAGTATAAAGTTTAGATAATGGAAAATTTCAGGAATTGAAAAGTCAGCTTACCAGACGAGTCATAGGAGGCTTTTAGACGTGGAAGCCAGGAATTCAAGATTTGCCCTAAAATGGAACCAGGAGAGAAGAGTCAGGGGGTGCACAATGGTTTTGAAGACAATAGCAAGTTCCAATACCAAAACTGTAAGAAAAACTAGCAAATATAAATCAATACAAATCAACAAAAAATAAATGAACCCTTTGATAAGGGGTTACAAACCCTGTGCACAACTCTTCATTGTGTATAGGCAGAAAAACAATGAAGAGAGAGGAAAAAAAGTTTTCTGAAGTTTTAGATCTCCAATGATTCATCACTCCAGACATTTATGACCTTTGAAGAGAATGACATTCTTAACCAAGAATAGTTTGCATACCATCTGCTTTTTATTGCTTGAAACAGTCCAAACCATTAAACCACTGCCTACATGCATCTTTCATTAAAAGAGAATTCAACTTTTACGGATTATCAACCCTTTGTAGGTTATTTAAAGCCAGAAAGTATTAAGAATTTTTTGGAGATGATAATGATTTTATTGATACAAGTCTTACATATTAATCAATGGGGGGGGGGAGAAATGCATTCATATCTTTTCTGATTGTATTTATGTGTATGTGAATATAAAAAACCTGACTTGAATTTGAACACAGTTCTCCAATTTCTAATTCTGAGCAGTTATCCATTACACCACCCATACATACAAGCTTATAGCACTTGGTATTCCCAAGTAGTTACCCATCTAGGTACTGACCAGGTTTGATGTTGCTTAAATTTGGTGTTTGCATGAGAACCAGTGACATGGCTGTAAGCCTGAACACACATGAAATCAAGTGGGCTCAAAATTATGATAATAGAGTTTGAAATGTTGAGTGTATTTATGGCTGGCAGATAATATCTTCGAAGTCAGGTCTTTTAAGCAACACCCACTTAAGAGAAAGGGAACGAAAGTATAAATAATAAAGAAAACTTTTCAGAACAAGTAACAACGTAATTGGACATTGAGCATTTATGGTCATAGATCTATATTTATCAACATCTTTCAACCTCGCTATGGTTGTTCGGAACTCCACTGACAATCCCTTTATACAGTGTTCAGTCCTGCATTGCTGCCCCCAAATCTCCAATGTCAACCTTGAGTTCCGAGCTATGGTGTCTGGGAAAGTCAATTTTCATGAGAAGACACTTCCAGAAGGATACCATAGGAGTAAGGACGAGACAATTTTCCTCTTCATTTGGTGGTGGTGACCTGCAAAATGTAATCATTTTTGTTTGAGCTTAAGAGAAATTGGTCTCAGTTCTGCATAAATTGTGTTAAGCGTTGCATGCGATCTCAAAACTAATGTTCTGGATTTTTCTAAATAGATTTGTATATGTTCCATCCAGTTGTCTTTCAAGATGAACAGATAATGTCCAATTATATATATTAAGAGATGCAGTTAAATTCTAAACTACCTGTTAATGTGAACAGACTGTCCCTTTGTAGTTATGATGCTGTCTGTTCGTGTTGCAAGCTGTTGGGATGAGCAGAGAGTTGGTAGGAGAAAAGCCATAGAGAAAAAGTTGATCGGTTAACTAAGCTGACATGGCAGAAGTTGTCATCTATCCTATCCACCCAGACAGAGCAGGTAAGGCCCCAAATAAAATACTTAATATACTGGAACCTGGTTTTGAGTACTCATTTCTCACAGTTTCTATTTATTTTCAGTTCTTACATACTTTGTTTTTGACAGTTTTTGGTGTCCATAGTAAAATATTCTCTGGTTTGTCTCTAACTACCACCAGATTCTACTTCCTTGAAAACAGTCATCAACTTATTCAACAGCCCCATGGTAATGATAATCTTAGCCATTTCCTTATAAGGAATCATTCAACACTCACTGACCAACCAGCTTAGTGCTATTTTCCATTTAAATTTATAAAATTCTCTTAAATTCATTTACAGGCTGAGGCTATTCATTTAATGTCAGACGAGCAAATTCTATATGTAGTATTTCGAATAAATGTATTCAGAAGGACATTTGAACATCGGCAGTGAAATTTTTGTTTTTTTTTTCCATCGTATCAGGTTGGCTTAGCCATTTCGGATACTATGTTTTATTGTAACTCGTGTGGGTTCATAACAGCTCATTTAAATTATATTATTTCATTAAAGACTCATTTTAATTACTTTATTATCTCTGAACTCTCTAAAAAGGAAACAACAACAAGAAAAGGAGCACAAGTGAATGACCTTTTATAAAACTGATAAGAACTGATGTATGAAAAGTTATTCTGGACAGTTGGAATATTTCTCCTGCATTTCCTCTTCTAATGATGATTTGCAATCTGAAATTGTTTATAAGCCGCTGCCATAATGAATATTCCTGGAACACTCAATATCTTATCATCTCTTAAAAGTGGTATTATATAAAAAGTCTCATCTAAAGATAAATGTTGATGCCACTTGTGCAATGAAGACCATCAAAAAGTAATCATTTTTGCCTTTGATTGGAACCAAACTTTTGATTACGGCATGGGACGGAGATATAATAACAACGAATTAGTCAATTTAAAAGTTGAAGTAATAGTATACTGTGAGCCATTGGATTTGGTGCTTGTAACTGGAAACCATTTGAGTTCTTCTTCATCACAAATGCTAGAACTGTATTCACAGAGTGCCTTCCTTTCTTTCTTTTGTTCCTTTACAGGTGGAGATGAAATTCTATTACAAGTTTTCAGTGTAATGTCTATTCCCTTCATCACACAATTTTTACCTGTATCAGCAACTTTTTCATACATTGCAAGAAAAAGTATAAAATTAATCATCCACTGAACAGAAGATTAAATGTAAATTTTATTAAACACCTGAGTAGGGTCTTCCGATATAGAAAGCACTAATACAAAAAAAAAAGTAAAAAAAAAAAAAGAGACCATATTATGCTTATTATCTTTCATAATGACTTAAGAGAATAAAAAGACAACGCATATTTGCAAAAGTTGAAGAATTATAAAAAATGTATCAGGTGGAAGGCAGCCATAGTTGTCTCTCCTTCAAACTACTTGACTATAAAAGAAATGGTGAAACATCACATATGAGCAGTAGTCAAATTCATTAAATAAAGCAAATGTAACAATTTTATTTTAACCTGTGAAACAGGAAATAGGACCCTAATCCCTAGGATTAGTAAATAAATAATCATTAAAAGGAAAAACAAAACAAGGAAACTGATTACATTTTAATTTTTTATGAATCCATAAAAAGTAAAGTTAAAACACATCCATCTAATTTTTTTTTTATTTTCTCATTTATAAAATGTACCCATTCTTTTTTAAAAAAATGTAAATAATTTTCAATTTAATTCCCAAATCTCAAGAAGGAGAGAAAATTACAAATGTAATTGAAATGAATGACAATTTTAAAAGGAAAACTGGATACTTTTTTTTTTTTAAATTATTTTACTTTACAGACAAATATAAGTGAAATTTAAAGGACTGAAAATATTGTTTTTAATTTACCAGATGAATTCAGTTTAATGTTTTTGTTTTTAAATGCATAAAAACAAGAGCCAAAAGGTGAAAATGACTCAAACATAAGTTTGTACAAGATACAATAAATAATTTTACTTTATACAACTTTATAATGCATCATTAAAGAAAATATATCAAAATTGTATTAAACTTTAAAATATCCATCGCTAAAACAAGTCTAATTTAAAATGGGGTTCAGCTGACAATGCTTATTCACTCAGCAGGTTCTCTCTTTTCAAAATCTTCCTACCCTCTTATTTTCTTCCTATCATTTGACCTTAAGATAACTTTAGTAAACATCAAAATGAATTCAGATTACTAACAACAAAAATTACTTTGTCCTTGGCAACACTGGGGAATCTTGCTGACGCGAAAGAATTTTTTTTTGTTTTTAAAGCATGCACAATGAATACCAATTTAAAGAGTTTCCATACTTACAAGAAGAATCCCTCTCCCCACAAAAAGAACCCCCCCACCCACACCGAACAATCCCCTCCTCTCCTATTCAGCAAGACTGGAGGCGTTATTATTGTTGTGGGTTTTCTTATATCAATTGTTATGCTTTCCATCGTTACAACCAGTTCTTTTTCAGCGTTTATCAACAACAGGCAAGTGACAGTTTCTGAAACTTATAAAAACATTTGCAATAACTAAAGAGCATTACTGACTTTTGAATTTTTTTTCTTTAATGGAAATGAGAGATTTTATATGTGCATCTAACATCTAGCAAAGAAAAAATATATACAAGCAAGCGATTGCATTAGGTAGCCACCCTCTAATAAATTTTACATGCAAGCATTACACAGAAACACACACAAAATATATAAATATATACACACTTACATAGATTCATATACACTCTCACATCTTTGAAGGAAGGATTGTGCATAGGGGTATGTGTGTGTCATATATATATATATATATATATGTGTGTGTGTGTGTGTGTGTGTGTGTGTGTGATTTAAAAGAACTGACTGTTTAAATTTTTATTATATATTTCCAATTGTTGCGTATTGTGTTCAAAGTTATGAATAAACTGTTCCAAAATTGTTTTTTTTTTTTTTTATTTTCAAGTACTTTCGACCATTACAGTCATTATCAAGAACCAATGTAGTGTCTGTGTGGTAGGCAGACTTTCCTTGTCTATGTTTCATTGAATATGGCACGCAAGGAAAATTTGATTCATTTTTTTTTTTTTTTTAATCTAGTTTTTCCAACATTCTTATATTTCATGGGAGTAAGGTAATGCAAAAATTGTCTATATTGTCCCAAGTGCTTTTGAACACTTCTTTAACCATTTTCAAGAGGGTTTGCTTTTAGGTATTGTTAATTTCTTTTCATGTTTGACTGTTTAAGATGTATTTTTATTCTGTTTGAATAATAGTAGTAGCATTTATTCTGAGCTTTGCAATTTGAGCAGGGCATGAATTCAAGTCGATATCTTTCTTTTTTTTTTTTAAAAAAACCTTCAACACACCATTTCTGCTGCTGAATAAGGTGAGATTTATACTGGTTGCCAGATGTTTTATGTAAAGGCCTCTCTTACAGCAAGATGTTTTTG